GTGAACGTGCTTGGGAGAAAGTAGGAGAAGAAGTTTGAGCCAGGACGTGCGCTTTTGGCAGCTCTCATAAATATTTATGATATAGCCAGGCGGGCAGGTCCCTATTGTTGTAACTGATTTTCTATGGCATGCATAAAAACAAAGGAGGAGGCGGACAAATCCTTCCGAGTTCGGCATACAGTGAGTGAGACGCGACAGCCAGCAAACCATAAATTATGCATTAAAAAGTTCAACGTTCAACTTGATTTTGATTGTGTTCTCTGCCTGGGTAATTGTGCCAGTTGGTGTTCACGTTTGCAGTCACGTTCAAGTTTCAAGCTGGCCATGATCTGTTGCCACTACCTGTCAGCAATGCACAAACTTTGGCTGGTTTCTGTTGCTGGCTCGGTTGCCATTTTGAGGTCATTATGCTGCAGTAACAGCTCCTGCAACAACAAGCCAAAGGGCAAGAGACAAAGAAAACAAAAAATACAAATTTATTTTAATGCGATTTGCATTTATTTTCCTAGAGAGCTGCACGAACGACTCCATCCAGGCTAGGCGACACTTGCAGACGACTGGCAACTGCAACTGGCAACAAATTGTGCTTTTAATTTTATTGAAATAGCCATTTCATTTTTATAAGCTGCACTGCACCAGCCAATTGCGGATTAGAAGCGTTAAAAGCAAGTGACCATAATGCTTAAAACTCCATGAACCAAGAGCAAAGAGCCACGAGCCACGAGCCAAGAGCCAGGAGGTGGAGACCAAAAGCCCATTACGTCAGACAGAAAGGTAAAAACGTTGCCGTCGTCTTATCCATCCGACCAACAATTTCCGTCAAATTTCCATGCGCTGACAAAAGCTTTTCACTTGAGTGCAGAAACATCGACATGCCAGACAAAAGCCTTCTCACGACCGACCGACACCGCTGAAGACGAGAAGATGGCATGCCTGCCTGCCTGTCTGCCTGTCTACCTCTTAACAGGCATATTCCAAACCATTACTTTATATTTCACACCTGACAACAGGCTGGCTACAACAGTAACAGTACCATCTACCTGGGCGTGGCCGTTGCCTTCCTCTAATGCGCTCCCATCATAGATTCAGCCGCAAAGTGCCGCTTTGGCATAAATCCAGAAATATATGAAGTATATCCGTGATGGCTGCACAAATGAAACTGAAACGAGACTTGGCTGACAAAGTTAAAGCCAATTGTTATCTCAATGGCTGCCAAGCAGCCTGACTGCCTGGCAGGCCGCCATGCAGCGCCCAGAAGCGGTCATTAGCCGCCAACCAACCAAGCTAGCGAACAGACTGGCTGACGGTTCAATCTTGTCACCCAACGCATTGGACGACAGAGGCGATGCTCCTGGCTTTGTTGGCTGGTCATGTCGCAAAGGCGTCATTCAAATGTCATTAGTGTCGTTGACGTTAGCTTTCATAGGGATGCAGAATTGGTAAGGCATCTATTTCTTAGCACACCAGTTTGCTCAGAAACGGAAATGTGAATTGAAATTTGTACAAAAAAGGACGTGTATCTTCATATATACCATGTATATAATTCTACAAGTATATTGTTTCCTTTAAGGATTGCAATCCCGGAAGAAATAAGAGTTCTCTAGGCATTGCAGAAACTCTCTACGAACTGCAGCACAAGCTATTAATTGTATGCGTAGAATTTTGCTGAAAGTGAATCAATCAATAGCAATGCACCATCGACATTTCTAGTATTGCCAGATACAATATAGAATCCAACAAGCTAGTCTATAACTTATGAAAAAAGTATTTCCCATCAATTGTAGAAGAAGAAATCCCAGGACTTAACCGTCCATAGCCGAAGCAACAAGAGAGAACGCTACAGTCGAGCAAGCCCGACAGTGTAATACCCTGTACCCAGGTAAGCTTCCGTCACTGAGTTATATGCGTCCATAGCAGAAGCAAAAAGAGGAAGAAGAAGAGCGAACTTGTTGCTGCAGTTTGTGGGGGTTGTACTGTAGAGAATTTGTTTCGCTAATAACTTTTCTCAGAATTGACCGAATTGAATCAAATTTAATAAACAACAGTAGATAATTATATATAAATGATATGTGCAAAGTTTGGTTTAGGTAGCATTTGAAATGTGGCCGCTATTGGCGAAATTCTGTAGCGGGGGAGGGGGGGGGGGGGAATTAAAAAAAAAAATAATAAACTCGTCCTTTCTCGGACCTAGGAGAATCTGGATGCCAACTTTGGTTATTCTAGCTTTTATAGTTTCTGAGATCCTTGCGTTCATCCAGACGGACGGACAGACGGACGGACATGTCTAAATCGATTTCTCTCGTCATGCTGATTCAGAATATATATACTTTATGAGGTCGGAGATGCTTCCTTCTGCATGTTACATATTTTGCACAAACCTAATATACCCTTTTTACCCTACGGGTACAGGGTATAAAAATAACAAGAAGATCAGTTTGTGGGAGTAGTACTGGACTGTGAATAATTTAGTTAATATGAAGGTATAAGTGTTTAGGTTCTGGTGTCAAGTTGGAAAAGATGTTTGATTGAAATTTTCCTCTCCATTTTGTGATTAATTTGCATCCCTGGCTGTGGTGCCGGTTCAAGTGGCAGGTGAGCGCATGCAGGCTTTCCTCATCATACAATTGCGATTGCGCTTTTGTGTGGCTGCTGGTGCTCGCGTAATTTCATTTTGAAACGCGCAAATTGCAGGCGGTTGCCCCCATGCTAACCACCCAACCACCCAACCAACCACCCAGCCACCTACGTTGGCCACTCAGCTTACAAATTACGTTTTCAAGTGTGTGCACAGCGGGGGACAACGGAAGGGGATTTATCTTCTAGCAGGTTGCTCGACTCTCAGGCCTTTGATTAAATGTTGTTGCAGTTTCATAAGCCAATCAGTTAGTTGGCCAGCGCTTTGAGTGCACTTGTCTGTCTGCATGGTGGTGGTGGTGTGTGTGTGTGCGCGCGCGTGTGTGTATGGGTGGGCCTGTTTTAATTGCTTTGATATTGAAACGCTTTGCATACTTTTCAGCGGTAGATTTATGATTTTAATTTGTTATTTATCGCTTCCTCGAACCTCCTCGCGGTCGCGCTTCATTTTTCAATAACAGTTTTCCATTTGCACTGCATAAAGATTTATGTTTGGCATTTCGCTATTTTGTTATTTGGCTATTTGGTGATTTGGTTAGAAAAACTAGCCACACACTTGTGCCGCTATTTTGATTATTTTGCTGCATGACTGAGCAGAACAACGCTCGGGATTTTCAGCTTTTTCAGCTTTCTGCCATACACAGAGCCACCAAACACTAAACAAATTTATTGTGTAAGCCTCTGTCGACAACAGTTTTGCGTTTTGGCAAACGGGCATTAATGCTAATGGATTTTTGAATATGTTTCCGCATGTGTCGAGGTCACAGGATGAATAAAAAAGAGCTTAATAAATATTTATTGATATAAATTGTTCGTTTGGTTCTAGTTGAGCCAAAAAAAAAAGAAGAAATGCGTGACAAGCCAAATATATTCAAATTGCGAATAGGTTGGAAAAAACAATTTAAAATCAATTATAAATCTTCATAGCTGTGTGTGGCAATTTGTGTCAAAAACAACCATCGTTGTTCAAAACAAAGCTCAATAATAAAATTTAGGAAGAAACGCTTATGCATATTTAGCTCTGCATGGAATTGTAGGACAACAGTTTTAATTGGCTTTTCAATTTTATTTTTATAAAGCTGTTCTGGATACAGAAGTGATATATCCTAGAGTTAAGACTCTTTGAATTTAAATAACCGATTAAATTCGTGCAGTATTTATTAAAATTTTCAGCCTCCTGAAGTAGGGAAGCCCTATTAGTTCTTTTATAGACTTGTTGAACGATGCATTTTAAAAACTTTTGTCAAGCAATTTCAAAATTAGTAAATGTATAGTAAATTATTAAAATATTGATCAAATAATATTACAAAACAAAATTTTAAAAAGAGAATCATTTAAGTAAAATGTACACTTTTTAATCAAATTTTTTCAAATATTTTTAAGTTATCACAAACGGTTTCTTCAATTATTAATCGAACTATTGGCATCATTAGTGACCTGGTATTGGAACCGTTTTTGCATTCAAAATAAAATTGTAAATCCAATCATAGAGATACTAGTATTTATGAATAATTATAGGGAGCCGTAAAATGTAAGCAATTATATTGTTCTTTTATAATTAGTTTATTTTCATATATGTATAAAAATAGATATTTAAGGCCGGCAAAGCAAACTTATTATTAAAATTTGTAAACGGCGGTTTTTGCAATATACTCGTACGATCATGAATAAGCAATAAATGGACAACAGTACGTAATATACAATCTTCCAATGCTACGTCCATATAGCATGTTCTTTGAAATTAAAATGCTAATATTATTCTATCCAAGCTCTGAGAGTAATGGTATAAAACTATTATTTGACTCTATTTAATCATTTCAAGCATTTTAAAGAATAGTTTTTTAAACAATTCCCTTTATTGAGAAAAATCATGTTAATATTTTTACTTAAAAAATAACATACATACGCTGTCTTTTGTTATAAAATACTAATGTAAACGCTCAGTTGGTTGCTCTCAAAGCTTTCCCCCGTACGAGTATAAGAAGGTGGGAGGCCTCTCCAGAGAGTTCTTTCGCTCACATATTTGGATGATAGCGCTCAGTAGTGCTCATTTAATGCAAGCTGCTTCTCAGTTTTGTTGGGGTTTGCTGTGTAGGCGGTTTCTGCTCGCCCCTGGCCCCTGGCTATCGTCGTTTGCTGTTGTTGTTAGTTCGTCTGATTAAAGTTCATTTTGCCGGCACTGGCGTTTGCTCTTTGTGCGTTTTGTGTTTGCCTCGGCTTTCATTGAATTTAATCAGCGAGCTCAACGAATATCATTTAGTTTTGTTTACACGCTCGCAGAGCGCACTGCGCTTTTCCTCAATTTCCAGCAGCAGTGGCAGCCGGAAATTTTCGACTATTTTTCTTCATATATTCTATAAAAATAGACCAACTCTCGCACATATCTAAGCAGTGCGTATACATATGTAGTTGTGTGTGTGTGCATGTGTCGCATTAAATGGTTTTTATAAAAGCTGAATAGAAGATGACGACGCGACAAACTGATAGCAACGGAATGCTTGAACAAGAACCGGTAAATAAATCAATTTTATAAAATATGATGTTATTGTGATAAATTAATAAATTAATAGTGAAAAGGTACTGAGAATTAATAAACTGCAATATCAGTCAGCCACGTGCTAATTGACCTTATCAGTCTGAAACCCCAGCCGAATGCAAACGACTTTCTCACCTTTGAGTTGCGACAGACCGCACCTGACCATATAGTATACGGGTATATTTAATATAATTTGATGTCTGCTGTAGCTTATCGCTGTGCTGTGCTGATAAGTTGCGAGTTAGCTGCGTAAACGACTACCAGAATCGATTACGCGACTGATTAAGAACAACAACAGTTTTGAAAGAGTATTAAGTAGCTCCGAATTTGTCCACAGGGTCCACTTGAGAACTTACGCGCTATGCCGCTTTTATCGAGCTCATTAGAAGTTCATCAAAAACTTTTGCACAGCGTTACGCTTCAAAGTATTTGCACTAATTTTCAAGTTGAATGCTTCGACAAAAACAACTACAACAAAAGCAACTACAACACAGAAAGTGTTGGGCAAAGTTTTGTGTGTGCCTGTCGCCAAACTACGAAAATCCATTTGTCGAAATTTAAAGTTTGCATGTGCAACCAATCGTAAAGGAAGGGGGATTCGTTAAGGCGGAGTAAAGAGAAAAAAATGATAAATCGTAGCAGCTAGTTGCAGCAACAACAATCAATAGTGCCAACAAATGCTGCCTCCCTAACTGCCTGCCTGGCTGCCATCAATCTACCTAGCAGGTGTCAAATGCAAAAATGTCAGTGTTCGAACGTTTTTGTAAAGTGTAACCAAAACGATTGATCAAAAGTTTGCACGCCACTTTCACAATTAGCGCGACTAACGTTTATCCTTTTTCTCTTCTCTCCACCAATCCTGCTCTGCTCTGCTGTGGCCCGCTCTGCTTGACCTGCTTTGGCAGACCATGGATGTGCGCATCAACATGCCTTGGGGCTATGTGGTTGGCAGGTGGCACGGTAATCGCCAGGTGCGTCCCATACTTGCTCTTCATGGCTGGCTAGACAACATGGGCACATGGAACGAACTGTTGCCACTGCTGCCCGAACACCTGGGCGTCCTTTGCATCGATATGCCTGGACATGGATACTCATCGAAAATGCCCGAGGGTATTGCCTATCATGCTGTCGACTACCTGTGCGTCATACTGCGCATCATGGAGGAATATGGCTGGCAAAAGGTCTCGCTGATGGCCCATTCGATGAGCGCCATGTTGTGCTTCATCTTCGCCTCGCTCTATCCCAACCGCCTGGACATGCTGATCAGTATTGACATTGTTCGTACCCGCTACCGCCAACCCGCCTCACAAATCGATTACCTGCGCACCAACATCGAGCGTTATATGGTGGAGGATGAGCGCTTTGCCAATGCCAAGCGCGCTGAACCGCCCTCCTATACCTACGAGGAGCTGGAGCTGGTCCTATATGAGGGTTCGCAGCGTTCGGTTGCCCTCGAGAACTGCAAGCACATACTTGAGCGCAATATAGCCAAGTCAACAAAGTATCCGGACAAGTATTATTTCTCACGCGATGGACGTTGCAAATACTATTTTGAGTTCCATACGAGTCCGCCGTTTGCCGCCGAACTGGCCAAAACCATACGGAATGTTCCCTATTGTGTCATCAAGGGTTCGGAATCGAATTTCATCGATGAGGAGAGCCAAGAAGTCATTGACATATTGCGAGAGAATAATCCGCATTTCGAGCTGCACGTGGTGCCGGGCACACATCATGTTCATTTGAATAATGCCACAGGCGTGGCTGAGGTTATTAATCCTTTCATACAACGCCATCGACCTCCATTGCTCGAGTCGTGGACTGTGGAAGAGGACTTCGCAGCCGTTGTGGAGGATGAAGAGAATGTGAAGCGAAGAAAGAGAAAAAGTAACCTCTAGCTGTTGCACACATCTCTGAGATGACAGCAGCAGCGCTGTATTGATTTTATCACTGCTTTTGTTTTATTCAAAACATCATAGACTTAAAACTAACGCGTGAATTAATTATGCTAGTCATCAATTAAGTATGAACTATGCAACGAAATTGACACTTCTTCCTCCCTCTTTAGTGCTTTAAATATTCTCAAGCGTTTTCAAATTGTGTATAATTTATTTCTTTAAGCTTTTAGATTGTGTGGAGGAACTTCTTATTTTGGAAAAACCTACAAATATTGTCAGACATTTTCTTTTCTTATTTGTTTGATGATACAAGTAAGTTTGAAGCGCGCTTTTTGTAATAAAATTATATTTTGTGGAAATCATTGCACAACTCTTTACAATATCTTATGATAGTAATATTCAAACATTAATATTACAAAGTTTTTCGTTAGCTGAAAATTAATATTTTAAAGATATACTTAAAAAGAATTCAAAAAGTTCATTGAAATTCTTTATTATATTATGGTTAAGTGAAGAAAGGTAATACTACCCTATAGTACAGTTTTGGGCAGTTTTGGGTTTTGATTAAAAAAAACTTCAAGAATAATCATTATTTAATGAGTTTTATTTTTTTGCTCAAAATATAACGTTTATTAGTTAAGTTGAAAAGTAAAACTCAAAACTAATTATTATATTGGGAGCGAATGAAAAAAATTAAAAAATTAAACTTTATTGTAATTTTTATAATAACACTTTAATGATTACTGTCGCTTTTCTATAGCCTTTGGGTATATATATTTATAGTTCTAAGTATCATACTACACTTTGTAATTTGAAACATTTACAAATCGACCGGTACACAGTAGACACCTGTTCTGGGAAAATCTCGGCTGGTATTGCAACCAACATCAATAAGTTGTGCTGCTCTTTCTGTTCTCTCGTGTGGCGCTGATCTTCGAAGCACGGGCAGTTCGCACGTTTTGATGAGTAAAGTGTTTGTTAAGTGAAGTAAATTATAGACTAGTGACGAAGCGCGTTCGAGTAGATAGTTCAGCTGCTGCTTTACTACCTGCCCGCTGTTGTTCTGCGCAGCAAATACCGCTCTCAAAGGGCGATTTTCACATCTTTTTAATAGCACTCGAAGCAAAACTCCATCAACTGCTCTAACGAATTAATTTAGAACATAAAAAATTACAATGAAAATCTAAGCTTGATTTCTTACTCTTTTTCGGTGTCGGAAATAAACTTAAATACAGAATTGATATTTTTGCAGACAAAATTGATACCTGTTATTTGTTGACACAAAAGTAACACTTTTTAATGCAAATGTATGGAGCAGAAGAATTAAAGTAAATGTCTCTTGCAATATGTTTGTTTTGAAATATGTTGTCTTTCTACTATGAACTCTCACTCTCTCGCTCTGTCTATGTCTCTTTAAAATGAATGAGCTCTTTATCCCATTTTGCAGACAGAGCTTTGTTATTATTAAACAAGTTTGCTTTTTTTTTTAATTTTTTTATATTTAATTAACTCATGGGCATATGGTTCAGCTTCAGCCTTGCTTGGGCTTTCCTTTTATTGTGGTTACTAATACCAAAGACTAATCTTGTTAATGAAAAATTGCATGGCAGAGCTTGCAATAGCGATCCGCAAAAACCGTAGCTTTAGTGATTATCCTAAGCTTGGCATTATTTCAATCAATCAAATTGCCGCCCCAGTTTTTTGTTTTCCAATTGAAATTTGAGCGCGTTGGTGTTTTGATGAGGGTTTGCGTTACACTGGCCATGCAATTATGCGCTGCATGCCCAGACAGCAACCACTTAAAAACAATGGCCCGAAAGGTTGGTTCAGACATTGCGCGCCTTTTTGTATGCTACACTAAACAGTAGGTCAAGGGGTATCGACTGGGGCAGGGCAGGGAGCGGACAAGACTCAGATAACAACAGCCTTGAAATCGAATTGTTGTTGTCTGTCCAGCGGCTACCGGGTAATAAACCCAAGCCCTATCGTGCCAAAATAAACAAATTTAACGTTTTTATTGCCAATGCAAGTCCGCGCCCTTCTCCTCTGCCAGTGCCAGTGCCAGCGCCAGTGCCTGTGCGGTATACTTTCGTTTTGGTAAATTAAATTAGGTTTGTCCGGGAAAAATGGCTGAAGCGCAGGAAGAGGTAGCGGTGGTCGTGGTAGCAATACGATTACGTTTTTTCCGCCGCAACGGAATTGATAGCGGATATAAATATTTAATGTTTTGGCAATAAAAAAGTGAACGAACAAACGCCGTGCAAGTCTGCAAGGAGCGAGAAAGAGAAATGAAGGGTGTTGAACCAGCTGAGCCCGGGCATTGATAAAGCGACCTTATGATAAATTTAAACTGCGGTTAACGCGTAATTTCATTTGCCTTAAAATCAATAAAAAAATATTTGTATGCATATGTCAGCCTCAAATTTGCGACTGGGAACAATATTTTACGGTCTAATTAATAATATCCGCGAGAGGAGACTGAATATAACTTTCGCCATATTATGCGCTTCTCGAGTGCTTGCATGGCCAACTAAGCCATCAAGTAGTTGACGCAGCCAGGACTTGACATACATACTACATAGTATAAGCTAATATCTACTTGTATGTATAGTATGAAAGGCATGTGAGAAATGTTGAAGAATGCTGAACATTTTATCAAACGGCAACGCCTCAAAGCAGACAACCATTTATGCACCTTTTTAAGATACACGCTTAATTAGCAAAGTCATTCAAAAGTGTTGCCAGTTAATTGACTTTTGACGCTCAGTTTTTCCTGCGAATAAGTGGTCGTCTCTCTCTGTGTGTGTGTGTGTTTGTGCGAGTTAAACAATTTTACCGTTGCACTTTTGCCATTGGCTTTTGGTTTGCTTTTATATGCACTTTAAACGAAAGCGGTATTCAAATTTTTTGATCCCGCTTGTAACACTTTAAACTCTTAATTCAATAAATCAATGCACAATTTAAAATATCTCTATTGGATGAAAAAATGAATACATACATTGATATTCATAGCGCATAATGAAAAAGATTATATAAATAGCAAAGGTAAACTTTTGAAATGAACACCAATTCGATTTATATAGTGGAAGACATAAAGAGAGCTTGAACACATTTTAAATAAAAAATATATTTATGTCTTACTTCAGGTTTGAAATCCACTTCTCTTAAAAAACTATTTAAAAAGGATCTTGGTATAAAATAGAGTGCAAAAATTGTTAGATTGAAAAAAAAATCTTCAAAAATGAAAGAACAGTTTGCGACACTATTTCTAACAAATCAAAATGTGCGTAAAGATTTATTGGAATTATTGAAATTATAAATTTATTGAAAATAGAATCCTTTTTTGACTATAAATGTAAATAATAAATAATAAATGTTAATAATTCAGAATAATTAGTTTCCTTGTGTGGAAAATAGTTAACATGCTTTCAACAAAACAAAGAGTAAAAATACCATCTGATAGAAATAATCGGAAAAAACGGCGAACTGTCTTAACGATTGGCAACACAATATAGAAAACTTTTAACGCTTCTACCGACTTCCACCATCAATAATTAATTCGAAAAATTAAAAATATTACATTTTACATACTAATAGATAATTTTTTTTTTTTTAACTTTTTAGTGCTTATTAACAGCTTTAGCTATAAAGCAAAGTACTATCTAATCAAAGCTCGAATAACTTTTCAGTGGGTGACGTTGTCCTAGATGCCAATGCTGCTTACCCAAACACTATTTGTATACCCTATACCCGAAGGTCGGGTCCCGAAGCAAGTCCATGTTATCGGAAAGAGAAGACGTCAATTACAGGAATATAAGGTATATATAGTGGTCAAAAGAACGACCACTCATAATATATACCACAAACATATTAATCAATTTTAGTTACTATACATTTAGTAAATATGTTTCCATATTAAGCCAGTTTATCGAATGTTTATTCAAGTTGCAGGAATGTGGGACAAGGCACGCATACCGGGTATACAAGAGTAAAATAATTTATAAATTTGATGGAAAGAGTATAGTTGTTTCGACCCGAGGAAAAACACCATTTATTTTCTCAATTTCCTTTTCATTTTCTGCACCTAAGTCACGAGCTTGGACGCCTCTGCTGGCTTTGGTTGCTCGTCTCGTTGCTGCTGAGACGCTTATGAATTCAATGAAGCATTGCTAAGCTACTTTCATTGCGCGTTCTCTGCTAACTGCTAGCTTCCCCTTCCACTTCTAGTCCTTTGACACATTGCAGTTTTGTTGTAGGGATGGATAACTAGCTTGCTTTCCAACTGACTCTGAAGTCCGATTTGCGCTGTAATTACACATTAAATAACTCAGGCAAAGAAATTAACTGCCGCATAAACATTTTTGTGCGCTTGGTATAAAATTTTTTTGAAAAAATTTCTTCTTGTCGTTGTTGTTGTTGGTGCTACTGCAATGCACATAAAACTAAGCACATTGTGTTGCCATAATAATAAATTCAGTTTAGAGCAGCTGCAGTAGGGGCAAAAACAACAACAACAACGTCAGTGAGTGCATTTAATTTTGTTGAAGCGGCCACTTAGTGGCTCTTCATGTTACTTGTTGTTGTTGCTGTTATTGCCGTTGTTGCAGCATAAATTAAATTAAAGCTGGCCCCACAGTCAGCCATCCAGTGTGACCAGCCAACGACCACGAGGCAAGCACAATCAAGCAACCCAACGTCTGCATCGCCTGCCGCGCAATTACTCACAGCGCCTACAACATGACGCAGGCAATTGTATGCCGCTGCTTTGGCCATGCACTCGAAGAAAAATAGTGAAAAACTAGAAAATTATTTAAAAAAAAATACCTGTTTCATCTTATAATGCTGAATTAAGAGGAACTCTATGATTTGAAGAAGAGTTTAGGAACCGATATCAATTATTCGACATAAATAAGACAGATATAGATTATAGATTGCGCTCTTCAAGTATTATAACTAAAAATCCCTTACAAATAAAAATAAATATGCATTTAAAGATGATATCAAAAAAGTATCTGTTTAACAAGAATGAAAATTATGATGTGAAGGGATAATTAGATTGGATTATTAGACTCGAATTCAATTTTTTAAAATCTACGCTTATTTGATCTACAAGTATTTGAGGAATGCATACTTTGCAGGATTTATTATGTCTTCTTCATACCACTGAGGCAGAGTCTGAATTTTGTATTCCCCGACAGTATATTTTTGTGAAAGCGGTACTCTAAGAAACGTTGAACGAAATCGAAGAAACTACTTCAACTTTACATACTTTTTACAGCTCGCTAATAGCTTTGATGATGATTTGCATTATAGATGCCTAGAACTCGCATTAATGTCTGCTTAAAGATTCAAATTATTTTTAAAAATAATTTCCAAACATTTAATTTCCTAACATTGGTCAAAGAAGTCGTTGGAAAAATCTACAAAAAAAACATCAACTTGAGTGCTTTCTAAAATTTTTTATTTTTATTTTTTATTCTTTTCTGGTATCAATTTTAGGAAGTTTGGTTATTCTAGCTCTTATACTTCTGAGATCCTTGCGTTCATACAGACAGACAGACGGACATGGCTATATCGACTCGGCTTGTCATCTTGATCAAGAATATATATACTTTGTGGGGTCTGCCACGCCTCCTTTGGTGTGTGTGTGTTCCATGTACACTCGCACAACACGGTATATTCGTTTTGTTTTACCCTTTGGGTACAGGGTATAAAAATTAATTCGTTGTGCAAGCTTTGTTAAGTGTAGTTATTGCTGTACCTATAGTATATATGTATGTGCCACACATTCAAGCGCCTCTGACCTTCGGACATTTGCAAATGTGTAAACATTTCTCAGCATGCTGCTGCGCACATCCCAGATATTTGCCTTACTTGGGCACTGATTTATGCTAAAAAGGAAAGAGTGCGAAGGGGGAAAACGCATGGGAGAAATCATGAGAAATCGTTAATTGTGCAAAGTGCTTGCAGTTTTTCTGAAAAATCTCTGCGCCTTCTTGGTCACACTTACGACACTGCTCCCAGAGCCCACAGGATGGCCACACCCTTCTCGTCTGACTTGGCGCAATTATGCTAATGGGCTCATCGCACGCTGGCAAAAGCGCAACAAAAGTTAATGCGACATATTTGCATTGAAATTAATGCACTTTAAAGCATTTTGCGCAATTTTTCGCTATCGCCGCTTGTTCCACCCACACTCTCCTTTTACACTCGATTTCCCCCCTTTTCTCCACATTTTTTTTTTTTTGCATTTTGTGAAACGCGCTGCAACAAAGTGCATTTTAAATGCCACTCCCATGCGATTTAAGTGTTAATATTTCATGAGGCAGCTTTAGGCACTTGACGCTTGTGAAAAGTTTATTAAATTAGCTCTCAGCTCGTTGCCAGTTATTGAAAATTTGGAATTCTTTCAGGGCGTTGCATGTCATTGGCGTCAGGAAATTGTTGATGGATGTGTTCATAGAGTTATAGAAATATGCGAAAAAGTTGCTATCGAGCACATGTTCTCAGTAAAAATAAAATTAAAAATTGTAGTTGCTCACACTACACATTTTCATTTTACTTTCTAATTCCTAATTAATTTTAAGGTATAAATTGGTTTCATATTTTATAATTTTTGACTTGTTTGCCTCTATTTGAAGTGATATGGTCGACATAATCGAGTTTTGATAGTAACTTAGAAAAGTGTCTTTAAAGCCGTATCTAACAAATCCGTTTTATTCTTGCTGGTCACACATATATTTATTTTTCTACACGCCGCTACTACTTTACTAAATCTTGCTTTACTCTGCTCGGGCTACCATTTTTAAAGCTTTTTTGCGGCTGCTCTTAAACTACTTCTATCAGATGAACTGGTTTTAAAAATTTTTACATTTGCCTAAATTTAATGCTGGCTTTAATAAAAGCTACGAAAATAAGAATGGTGATCCAGGAAATATTGTACAATTGAAAATATGAGTTTAACCTGTAAAAAAATTAGGTTGTTCTCTCTAAAATAGATTTGAATTGTATTTATATTATTGAAAGTATTTAAAATTGGGATTAATATATAAATTAATTAATTAGTTTCATTCCGATTGGACTAACATTAAACAACAAGGATTACAGTAAATGACAAGAGTTTGAAGCATACTGTGTAGTTTTCCATTTTTTTAAATGTAAATCATGTCTATCCTGACATTATCAATAATCATTTCAACTTAGAGTCGTTTGAAGCAGTTGAAGTGTGGCAGCATGACGAGTAGTATATCGTATAATAATAAATGAGATTGACAGTTGGAGTTGAATAAATGTCGATTGCAAAGCTGACAATAGCGAGCTTTTCAGATGTGAGCATAAAAAAGGTTATGTTTTTCAAATTTGACGACTTTCGAAGGTATGGGGAACTGAGGAGGCGACGATGGAAACTATATGGTTTAAAAATTATGGAGAAGGGGGAAACCAATGCCGGGTTTTATGTGACGCTATAAATAAAGCAATAACATTATTTTGAAGTATCTCATTATGTGTTACGGCTATGGGTGCTGCCATTTTTTATGACGCGTACGCACACATACACAACCACACACACACAAACACGCACGCAACCGCAGCATGGCGGACATTTTGAAGTAGTTGTCGGCCCCCGAAAGTATGCCACAGAAATGTGTGCGGACCGAAAGTCATTTATGCAAAAGTTTTCATGCTTCTGGCAATTAGTTTTTGCCAATGGCCGCACATTTAAGCCGACCCACATAGCTGGGCTCGAGTGTGCGTATCCTTAGCCTGAGGATGTGCTACTGTGTGAGTCCCTAATGATGGCACAACTATCAAATATCAACGCACACATTTGCACAGCTGCCGCAATTAGCACGTTTCGCACATTGATTTGGACAAGACCCTAAAAACGAAAAGAACCACACTAAGAAGTCAAACAAGAAAGAAAAAAACTATAAAAAAAACATGAAAGTAAAGTGTTCCGGGTTTGGCGCTAATTGCAACGTTTGCGCCTCAATAAAGTGAGGCATTGATATAATTATTAATTATGTAATGTGTAACTTGAAATCGTTTGCCATTTACTCAAGTGAAAGGATAAGGAAAAGACGTGTTGGTGTGTGTGTGCGTGTCTGAGTGTGAAATGAACAGTACTTCCACATTCTTGGCATATTTGTTTCTACTGTCCTTTCCAGTTACTTTGACGCGCTTCCTCTCACATGAATGTCATTTGCATAAAATGACAATTTTATTTATTTTATCGGCTGAACAAGGACCATTTAGTTTTCAGTTTGCTGGCGTGGCATTTTTTGATGCAATCTACATTTTTCATTACGATAGGCATCGGAGCTAGAATATATATAACTTAGCTATTTAATATGCATGTCTATTTGTTGCTGTGCCATTCGATTGGAGGCCACTGCCATCAGCAAATGAATGAACTTCTCAAAACAGCCCGACAGCTGTCAAAGCTCTACACTCTGCTGTGCAGTGAAACTTTCAGGATTCTGAATGCATAAATAGTGTGGGGAGTGCATTCTGGCCCATTTCAATTATACTCGTAACTTTTAAAAACTTGTGCAAACTTTTCCTCTTTTTTTCGGCTTATGGCCACAATTAGTCTAAGTGTATGTGCCTATGCGTGAACCAACATGGGTCGAATTCGAGTTAACTTATGAAAGAGTGCTAACGATAAACTCGACACATTGCCCTTCCACTTGCTCCAGAGATGAGAATGTGTGCGAAGGCACGTGACAATTCTCATTTTCTGGCGCTGGGCAAAAGCTTCATTCATTCAAAGGAAAGTGTGAAAAGGAAGTTATTTGAATTACGAATTTACATACATTTTTACACACACATATGCCTTATCCTAATGATGATGGCAATGTTCATGTTAGATTTCTCTATTGAACTTTTCTAAGTTGAAATTTCCATTATATTATTTAAGTCCGAGGAATAATAATCAATATTTGCTTCAAGCTTGTCAGATTCTGAGTGATTTAATTCGAATTTTGAACGTTAGTTATCTATTAAGCATACATCTATGCATAAGATGCTGGATTAAATGTACTTCTACTGACATCTTCAAGAGCAGTTCACCTTGAAGTGCAATTTAAACAGATTCGAGAATTAACAATGATTACATTTTAAATTTCCTTGGAGTCGATTTCATTAAGATAACTGATTTTCGGAAATTTTCCCTCAGCATTATTGAAAATTGCTGTTTATATCTTATAGTCAACACAGTATTAAGACAAAATTGATCAGAATCGAGTTCATTTGAGTATAATGGATAAAGATCTAATTTTTTTATTTTAATCAATCAGTCTTTGTTATACTTTCTTGCATTTTCTTACACATGCTATTGCCGATGTACAGCGGTTCACATTAACTTTATAGCCATTATATATCCAAAACTGACAGTTATTGGTGTTTGAATTATAAGACCAACTAAGCTTATGACCTTTACAGATCTTTTTATATTTCTGTTAAATTTTAAAAGTCATATGTTTTCTTGCAGGCCTAATGCTATGCCAAGCAGTGAAAATAAAATACAAAAGACACCAACGTATTATATTACTATTACTAAGCCATTACCTAGTCTAGTTTTAAATCTAAATTTTACGTTTATTTATATTAAAGCGAAACATTACATTTTCATGCCAGGCTAATGAAATACACCGTACAACTTATCGTAGTAATCGGTTTGGTGAAAGAATAAGTAATTCAGAATGTAACCAACTATAGCTGAAGAAATTCTGTTTATAGCGAAAAAGGCTGAGTGTTTTTTTTTAAATTAATTAACTTTCGTCGCACTTTTTTAGGCACGCATCCTCCGAGTCAAAGCGATTAGCGTTACCTCCACAGCCTCCATATATCCAATAAAGGCATTCATGGATCTCTAATATATATGAATAGCTGGGAAAGTTGCCCTTACAAGCGGGCTTACCTGGGCCATTAATCATTGGGGGCAGTCCACAAATTGCTGTTAAAATTATAGCGCCATATAAATATTATTCAAATATTATATTCACTTCTTACGGTCTTTTAAGCTCAACGTTAACCCAAGCAGTAAAAATAGATTAAATAGTGCAACAATGTTTTTCATTGCTTTCGATAACTAAATTTTATGTCTGCGTTGTATGAGTGTTGGCCATAAACTAGCAATTTAGCAAAGATTCATGCTATTTTACCAGTGAAGAATGCAATTTGTTTTGCAAAATTTCGTAAAACACTTTATTTAAGATATAAATTATTAAGAAGCTCCCCAAAATGGCAGCCATAACTTACCTAAAGCCTTACTAAAGTAAATGGTTTATATGACAATTGATTTCGAAATATGTTGTCGCGGTAGTCAAGGGTATAATCCTGTAGAAACCTAGGCTAAGATTTGCGGTTTTAAATTCATCAGGTACTATAGCAATAGGTCTGTAAGGTCAAAGATTCTACTATTCTGTTTCTGTCTCTTTCAAATTCATATTTTATATAACTATTCTAGAAGAATCGCAGGTTTTTCAAAACATTTTCAATATAATTGAAGTCGAGCATTAATTTGAATAGGTATCGATAAATAGAAGCTTTAAATGCAATCTTACTATACTATTTTTGAATTCTTTGTTGGCGAAACACGAAAAATTGCTCCAAGGGAAGTCCTTATGGACTACAGATACAGGGTACCCCAGCTTGTTCGGCAACTTATAATACAATTATACTCAATTTATATTATTAGCTGAGGGGCATAATAAACGACTAATGAATGTAATAGACAGAGGCTGACTTAGGAGCATGATGAGACAAACTTGCTGTGGACATTATGTTTTATATATTTTTAAATTCTGTATAAATCAAAATCTGCTCAAAAATCGCTCTCAGTACTAGAAACCTTTCTTTTGTGAAGTTACTAACCATAATTGAAATATCAGACAACTATATAACTGCCATAGGAATGCTTAATATAACTAAAATTTATTACAGCTGAATGGCAGGGATGTGAAAATAGGAGAGTAGAGTCGCGCTGGAACAACATTACGATTATATTCGTTATTTTCTTAATAAATCCAATTAGTGCAAAATATGGTTGACGCCCTTTTTGCATCTGCGAAGAGAAGGTGGGCTGGTAGTAACATTTTTTGATTAAATTATTTGTGTTGTGAAACCATAAAATTATATGAGACCATGGCGAAATTATTATATACTCGTATATATGTCGCTCTCCATATTTTCCAGACACTTACAATTTATGGTCATTGGCATTTCCAGAGAACACGAACATAACCCATTCTGTGGTCGTCTAGACATGGCACCCAGTACTCAATGGAAAGTCTTGACAAGTGCCACACACACACGAACATATGCACGTATGCAAAGAATGCAAAAAGAAAACGCCAAGAAGTAAAACTCGCGGTGCCTGACACCTGTCAACACCGCCTTGCCCCCCCAAACACACGGGTGTCATTCCCAACTGTTGTGCGAGTTATTTAAGCCAAGGCGGCGCTTTTAAACTGCTCGGAAAGTCCTGAGTGTTGGTAACTGGGCTAACTTGTGCTACTCTAAGCAGAAATTACAAATTGAAAACAAGCTGTCAGGCTTGCTTGACAAGCGGAAAGGGAAGTGCTGTTAACACCGCACGCACACACACACAGACACAGAGACACATATACAAATACACTCCCACACACACAGTGATAACTTGCCATGCGTGTAAATGCTTCGCCACTTAGTTCATGTTGATGTTGATAAAGTTGAGAGTTACTTTACATTTTTGCACTTAAATGTTCTGACAATCAAAAGTAAAACAAGTTGAGGAATATGCGCTTTCTTTGCAGTTCGTTGCCTGCATTATACGATTTTTCTATTGTTGTTGCTGTTGTTGCTTTGAGAACTTATAAAGTTTCTTTATGGTTAAAAACTTTTCACACTTGAACTGACGGGGCACAGTTTGAAAAACCGGAACATATGTACTATATGTGAGCTACTTCGGCTGCACATGACTTCTGATTTGCTGTCCAAATTACTAAAAATCTTTGTGCTGAAGCAAAAAGTTTTTTTCAATTTCTCTTCTGTTTTTTGCTCCTATATGTGCGGTCTCTTTGGCAATTTCACAGCTCGATGGCTGCCACAAATTTTTGGGCAATTTGCAAAATACTTGTGAAGCGAAAACCTGACAACGTACAACCAACAACCAAAAGCCAACAACAACCAACAGCGAACAGCGAACCGAATACGAGCAGCTAACTATGCCAAAATATTTGCTAAACAAATTAAAATTTACATTGATATCAAAAAGTTGTATGCTGATGATGTTTTTCTGCTTGTTTTTATCAAATTACAGCAATTGCCAAACCGTCAAGCGCCATTCGGCATGCAAACAGTCAGCGAGGCAGCTGCAAAGAGTGAACACAGAAATAAAAACTGAAAACTGAAAAACGAGCACACAGAAAAGAGGATGCAAGTGCAAATAAACAAAACCAACGGCATGGATATCGTTAAATGCAATCACAACGGAGGGGCGGGGGAGGAACATAGGGAGCAGAGGGTCTACTGTTTTAGGCACTCGACATGCTCACGTTTTTTCTCCACTCAGTACACTGAAAAGATAAACAGTTTTTTCGATTTTGAAATCTCGCCCTGCCAGTAAAAGGCGACCTTAAATATGTGCGACCTTAATATGTATTTAGTGTTCTTACTTAAATCTATAATATAATCATATATGGTTTCATGCGTACAATAAATACGAATTGTGACTACGTGGAAGAACAACTTTTACATGAAATTCCTCAGTGTATATATTTCTGATCAGCATTACATTCTAGACATGTCGATCCGTCTGTCGCTCACTGAAAGTATACCAGCTAGAGTCAACAAACTTGCTGCTTCTTCTAAGACCTTCTAGCACCTTCAATCTCTCGAAAAGAACTTTTGGAAAAAACGTTTTTGTTTAAATATATTTGTAAAAGGATATAAGCTACAATCTCTAGATTTGGTGCTCGGATTCATCTAGATCCAGAGGGAAACACATTAAAGTTTATTTTCGTTTTACTTCTTATCATGTAGGTTATTATTATTTTATTATTATTTTATTATTATTTTATTATTATTTCCTAGTGCAACAAGAAATAAATTCTTATAAATTAATGCACTAGTCACTAGAAACATACAATTTTCATTAAACAAATTTAAGACGGTTTGATTAACCTGCTTAACCTATTTTATAAAATTTAAGTTAAATCAAATAGACTATATTATGTTGTAGATATTTTATGTTGTTAGTTACTTATTTTTAAGAACAAATTTAATTTTTCCCTAAATTGCGATGCACTACTAATTTTCTTTAAATATTGAGGTAGCTAATTCGATAAAGAACTACTGGTTTGTATTTTAAAATAAAATTCCGGGCAAAGGGTATACAGCGTGCTAGTATTCTACATGTTTTACGCAAAGAAATAGGCGCCCAAGTAATTGCAGCTCAAAATGCAAAGTAAAATACTTGTCGTAAGAAAAAAGCGTTCTTAAAAGCAGCGCTAATTTTGGTATTTTGATGACGAACTCCAAAGTCTTTGACAATTTTTTTAAGTGTACGAGCAACTACATCACGTTCTGGCAAATACTTAGCGATGATGTTTATTTATTTGTACAACTGCCTGCTCTTCTTTTTTTGCTTGTACACCATCGCCATCACCACAAAAAACAAATTTAACAAAATGGCAATCAAATTTTACCTCCAGTTGTTGGCTGCACGCAAGGTAGGCGGTGTGGTGTGGGTGTGGGCGTGGCCAAAAGCTAAAATGTCTTGTGGCTGTGCTCAAGCTAAGAAATTCGTGTCATGCTGCTGCCAGCCAGTCTGCCATTTAGTTTTCAACATTTTCTAGCTCAAGTTTTTGACATACTACTTGTATATGAACATACATGCGACAACAGTGCGTATGAGTTATTTGACTGATAAGAAGTTTAATTGAATTTCAGAAAAATTGCACCAAAAGGTGCCCGAGCTGGGGTTCAGTCAACAAAGTGCATTTATTTTTAATTAAAAACTTTCAAAATGTGGAAAATATCTATTGTTAGCTATGAGGCAAAAGGAAATTGCCTTAAACCTTGTCTAAGCCATATCCTGTTAAAAGGCAGGGCAAGTCGTCTGCGGTTAGAGGAAGAGTAAAGGGTTTTAGTTTTTCGAGAATAGCTCAGGATATGTGTATTTAGTAGCAGTGTAGCTAAGTCAACACAAATATTTCTTAAATTTTAAAAGGAAAGGATCGATTTTGGTAACAAAATTATATAATTTTTAACGCTTAAATAAGACAATCTTAAAAGGAGTCAAGGGTGATCAATTGTTGGACAAAAAAAATAATTTATTATTAATTATTTAAAGAATACACTTAAGAAGTGAGTCAAAGCAGTAATAACAGGTGCGGGCAGAGTTTGGTCATCACGAAGAAAAAAACTTGCTGGACTTGGGAGAATCTGGATCTGGGGTTATCCTAGCCCTTATACTATCTGAGATGCTTGCGTTCATACAGACAAACGGACGAAGACGATTTCGATTGAAATTATACTCGTAATTATAAATTATAGCTGACATTAACGCATTTTCTACAGTAGCATTGAGCCATTCCATAAACTACTCACAAGTTAGAAACTAAACGATAGTTAGGTACATATTCACTATGTTTTTTGCTTGATATACAAATTGTGATTTCAGGAATAAATAAATAAACCGAACTTTAATACAAATGTTCTATCTAAAATATTAATGAAAATTTGTCAAAGAACATTAGAGAAAATGTTTGAAGGAAACTAACATTTAATTTCTTTTCTGGTTGAGACTACAAAAAATAATAATAATTTAACGATTTCGATTGAAAATTTACTCGTAATTATAAATTAAAGCTGACATTTACGGTAACGTTGCCCCATTCTATAGACTACTCACAAGTTAGAAACTAAACGATAGTTAGGTACATATTCACTATGATTTTTGCTTGATATACAAAATGTGATTTCAAGAAAGTGAGGATCATTAGGGATAAGATCAAGTCAATAAACCGAACTTTAATGCAAATGTTCTATCAAAAATTTTCATGAACATTTTTCTAAGAAAATTAGGGAAAATGTTTGAAGGAAACTAAC